ATTGAAAGTAGTGACGAGCTGGAATATGGTCGGGTCCAACATCAATAGCCAACAACTATTTATAACAATGAAGAGCATATAAATAAGGAAGCAATTCAGAAATAAAATGCTCAGCTTTATCACAATTTGCCAAAAATAGTTTCGCTTTTCAAGAATATCAGTGAAAACCCAAATTCTTTACCGAAATCGTCGAAAAGTATGAGATAGTTTGAAAACTGTAAATTTGTCCAAAAATCCTTTCCAAAATAAGTAAGATGTTTCATTTCCTTTCCATATAGCAAGTGTGAAATACCTCTCTATGATCACATATCAATGTGTGTAAAAGTCATGAATGACGTGATGCCGTACAACATGAGGAAAATGAGTCTCTATGCATGTATGTCATGTGTGCATGCCAAAGCCATGTATCTCAGAGATGAATCATGTACTCACACTCTCAGAGTACTCAATCTCACTGCTTCTGACTTTCCACTCATCATGCTCAACCACTCGGTACTGTATATGGCCCATACGGCCCAGGAAAATCTATCCCGGAACATATACAACACTGACTATAAGTCACCCAGTACCGAGAAAAAAGGGTAATCCAACCCTGTGGAGAAATCCATCTCCAGGTAGTAAGTACTTTGGACAAATCCATGTCCAGGGAAATCCATCCCTCAATAGTATCATCCGCGCTCACTGGGTGTGTGTTACAGACTCCGGAGGAGCTCCTGCAGCCCAAACGCTATCATAATCATCAATATAATCGCTGCGGCATGCAGCCCGATCCCATAACTGTCACTCATAATCAGACTCTCGGCCTCACTCAATCATCAATCTCTCCAGTCTCACCCACGGACTCACAATATCATGAAAACTGACCCGGAACAATGATATGATGTATCAATAAGTAACGACTGAGACTGAGATATGATATGAATGCATGAATATGACTGAGTACGAAATATCAATGAAATCAATGAGATGACAGCAACCAACGACCTCTATGGGTCCTAACAATATAAGCATAAAGCCTAAACACGATATCTAGTATGATTGACAGCTCAGTTACTTTATCATATGGTGAAAACACAAATATCAATGAAAATAGGGCCACTATACAGTGCCATGGAAACAATGGAATCACAATTCATAGGGTGCACGCCCACATGCCCGTCACCTAGCATGTGCTCACCTCAATACCAGTCACACAATACGTAATTTGGGGTTTTATACCCTCAACACTAAGTTTAGAAGAGTTACTTATCCTGAACAAGCCAATTCAAACACCGAGCAAGCCAAGCAATGATCCAAAAATGCCATCACGCGCGTAGCTACCTCCGAAAGGCTCAAAACTAGCCCAAATCAACTCAGATACATCAGATAAAGCCCAAGGGAGCAATTACAAATGATAAAGATCAAATTCTACATCAAATCCCAAATTCGGCCAAAAATCACACTGGGACCCATGCCTCGGAACTCGACAAAACTCATAAAATCTGACACCCCATTCAATTATGAGACCAACCATACTAGTTTCACTCAAATCCGACTCCAAATCAGTGTTCAAAACTCAAAAATTCATATTATGAAACTTTAGGCCAAAACCCCCAATTTCCTCTTTAAAATTCATCAACCAATTTCTAAAAGCGAAGATAGATTCATGGAATATAATCAAAACTGAGTAGAGAACACTTACCCCAATCCTTGTGATGAAATTTGCTTCAAAAATCGCATCAATTAGAGTCCCACATCTCAAAATATGAAGAAAGAACCAGAACCTCGTTTTTTATGACTCTGCCCAGCTATTCCGCATTTGCGGTCAAATTGTCGCATCTGCGACCATCGCTTATGAGGAAATTCCTCGCTTCTGCAAAACACCCTCACTCAGCAAAACCTCGCACGTGCGGTCCTTAAGCTGCTTCTGTGATCGCGCTTCTGCGCACTTGAACCGCATCTGCGGTTGCGCATGTGCGTCCAAGCACCCGCACCTGCGATCCTCACGCCCAGCTCCCTTTCTTGCTTCTATGATGGTACTGCCGATTTTGCGGCTCCGCACCTGCGCTCAACACTCCGCAAGTGCGGTCAAACCAGAACCAAAATAATCTTCAGCAATGCAACATGGAATGAAAATGATCCGAACCTCGTCCGAAACTCACCCGAGCCACTCGGGACCATGTCCAAATATACCAACAAGTTCTATAACATAACACAGACCTACTCGAGGCCTCAAAACACACATAACAACATCGAAACGACGAATCACACCTTAATTCGAAATCATTGAACTTTGAAACTTCAACTTCCATAACCGATGCCGAAACCTATCAAATCACGTCCGATTGATCTCAAATTTTGCGCACAAATCAATTTTGACATTACGGACATGCTCCAACTTTCGGAATCGGAATCTGACTCCGATATCAAAAAGTCCACTCCTGATCAAACTTTCCAAAATTTCAACTTTCTCCATTTCAAGCCAAACTCTACTACGAACCTCCAAACCATAATCCGGACGTGCTCCTATGTCCAAAATCACCCAACGGGGCTAATGGAACCATCCGAAAATCCAATCCGAGGTCATATACTAAAAAGTCAAAACTTGGTCAAACCTTTCAAATTTAAAGCTTCTTGCTGAGAATCAATCCTCCAAATCAATTCTAAATAACCTTAAAGCCAAAACCGACGATTCACGTAAGTCATAATACTTCCTACGGAGCTACTCATGCCCTCAAACAATCGAGCGAAGTGCAAATGCTCAAAACGACCGGTCAGGTCGTTACATAAGGGCTTTTGTACAAATTTTTTGGAATCCAAGCCTTTCAATATCGGTGGTGCCCCCGGGATCTGATCAACCCTGGAGTTATATGTTTTCACTTTTTTGTCATTTGCTTCAATCCTCCTTTCTCCTGACTCTATTCGTTTTGTTAGTTCCTCGAGCATCTTAACAATTTGGGGATTAGTCCCCGATTCTTGCTCATTTAACCTTACTACAACTGGCCTCGTTTTGTGGGTAACTTCTTGGGGTGGACTGGGCTCGAGCCTGGTCGGTGCCTGGGTTTGGCTCTGCAACTGGGCTATTGTTACTTGTTGAGCTTGCAACATTTCGAAAATCATACGCAAGCTGATTCCGTTTTCCTCAGCGTTTTGGGTATTTCGAGCTACAGATCGAGTTCCACCATGAATGCTATTATCAGGGTCGGAACGTTGGTTTACCTCGATGGCCATATGTGAATTAACGTCTCTTGGCTCTTCGACCCAAGCTCCAACGGGATCAACGTGTGGCCTTTCACCCCCGGGCGTTAAGTTGTTGTTCTCATCTTGAAGGCCAACTTCATTGTCGATAGGTAAGGCCATTAATTGTGAATTCGTCGTTTTCAGCCTGAAATCAAAGACACTTTCAAGAGCAAATGTAAAATAGTGTATTTCACAGAGATTCGTACCAAATAACCACTATTATCCTTAGCCTCGTGGTGAGCACCAAACTGTTTACCCGAAAAACGGATAGAGTTGAATTTATATGTAGTTCTAAGGATATGTGGTATAACTTGGTACAAATCGAAAAAGTAAGTAGAAACATATATCGAACATTGACTGTAAAAAATGAATGAAATACAAATCAAATTGAGTAGAGAATGATTTATAAACAAGCAAGATGAATCAATGTCAAAACTCAAAAAGGATAATCTCTGCTATATATCAGTGTAATAATCTTTGAAATGTGAGTGTATCAATGTTTGCTTCTCTGGATGTTCAATGTCCCCTTACAAAAATGATACCCATTCTTCATATAGTGGAAAAATCCTACTTTGGATATAATAAAAAATACATAGTGGGGATCTCATGATAGATTAGTTAATTAGCTTTTCCTTAATTCCCGCTGAGATTCTCTCCCTAAGTGCGGCTACAATGGCTCTCTGTCTCTTAGCTCGATCTTGGTCGGTCTTGGTATTGGTCGATCTCCGAATCTCGAGCTCGATATTGACTCGAGCTCGGTATTGATCGATTTTTGGTTCTTGAGTTCGATAACACTACTTCATATCATAGCTCGATATTGACTCGAGCTCGATATTGATCGGTCCCTGAATCTTGAGCTTGATAACCTGGCTTTATTTCTTATCTCGATTTTATAATGACGACCCTCGGTTCATCATGTTCCAATATCGACTAATTACACGCAGGGCAAACTCGGATTTGACCGTATACACAAGTATAATGTGGTAACAAGAAAAATGGAGTAAATAACATGATTTAATATGTTAAAATATATTGATAGAGTTATATTTTCAGTGTGTAATTTACTTGAGGCTTAAGCTCTAGTGTTTTTCTATCCAAATAAAATTAGCACATTTGCAGCTGAGGAGGGGTGGCAAGTAGCTTTTCAAGTGTTAATAACGTTTATTGTTTGTACAAGAAAATCTTTCGTGTTAATCGATTACTATATTTTAAGTTTGAAAGAGAAAAGAATTAAAGGACGCAATCATCGAAATGAATATTAACCCAGTTGTTTGTCAGTTGTCACCAACTATAATTTTAGTGACATTATTAGTACTCTTGGTAGGACATATCCACATTATAAGTTCCAAACAACGGCTCTACAGACAACCAGCACCGGGCCCCCGTCCCCTCTCGGTCAATTTTTTTTGAATTGGCTATTTACTTATTTTTTTGTCAAAAGTTTTTTTTAAAAAAGTATTTTTAGTAAGAAATAATTTGTGTTTAACTAATTAATTTAAAAAGTAATTCTAAGCAGCAATTAGTGTTTGACCAAACTTTTAAAAAGTATTTCTAAGTGTATTTTTCTCAAAAATATTTCCGGAAAGAAGTTATTTTTTTCTGCTTTTCCAAAACTGCTTCTGATTCTCCTCAAAAACTTTTTTTCCTAGTAAAAACTTGACCAAACAATTCAAACTTAAAAAAAAAAAAGAAAAAAAAAATTGCTTTTGAACTCGGTTAACTTGGCCAAATGGCCCTTGAAATCACATCTTTTTTGTCCCACCTTTAAAACTCACCATTTCCAAATGTAACTCTTTTAGAAAAACAGGACCCCCCCTCTTTGAGTTTTGACCCTTTGCCTCTTTTCTTTTTCTGGACATTCTTCCCTTCTTTTCCCCATTACAGAAGCCTTTCCTTTCCCTTAATTTTGGGGTAAAAAAGAAAATGGGTAGTTGTCTGAGCAAGAAGAGCGCTAGTACTTGTACTTCTCTTGCAGTTTCAAGCACAAATCAAGGAACCAAACCTAATACCCTGCAAGTAGAAAAGAAGAAAGTAGAGGGACAGATAGTGAGAAAAGAAATCTTTGTTATCAAACACAGGATAAGCCATGAAGGGTCTATCTGTTCTAAAGACTCAAAAGATAATGTCAAGAAAGCAACTGAAAATGCCAACAACAGTAATGGGGAATCTGGCAAGAAGAATGCTACTATTATTGTACCAGCACCAGTGTGGAGGAGGAGGAGTTCAAGTTGTACCAAGGAAGACGTTGATGCTATTTTAGTACAATGTGGGAGGCTTAGCAGGAGCTCATCCACTAACAAAGGTCTTTCCTTTGAATCTTGTGATAATACCAAGAACCACAGTAGAAGTAGAAACTACTCTATTTCCAAGAAAAGTTATGATTTTGACAATGAGAATACAAGTGGTGGTAGCAGAAGGGTGAGCAGATCTCCTGGTAGAAGATCTGAATCGCCAGTTACTGCTTCCAACTGTGCTAATTTGGCTTCTGCTGATGCTAATGGGAGTAATGTAAGACCAGATACTGAGCTGATTTCCACAGCTGCTATTCAGAGGATTCAAGTGAAGAGAAATGTGGGTGCTGCATCTCCTCGTGCTCGGTCCCGGTCTCCAGCAAGGGTGAGTGCAAAGGTATCAAACGAGAACAAGAATTTCCAACAGCAGCCTTTGCCCCTTAGCCGCAGCAATTCCAGGAAAAAAGAAGATTCTCCTTTCAGAAGAAATCCTCTCAGTGAGATTGGCACCACTGTGGTCACTGAGCATATGCCCTTTCATGGACTCAAGCCTGTCAATCCCCAGGTTGGCTTTTCTAGTCTCTGGAAATAATATTCATTTTCCCATTTCTAGGTTTGCTAATGATTCTAGCTATATTTGATTTTATGCTTTTGGCAATCAGCTTTGAGTTTGCAGTTCGATTCTGGCATTTATTTGACATGAATATGGTAATTTTCATTGGTTCAAATGCAGAAGCTGAATGCAGAAAATGCAACCAATGGCAAAGTTGTTCCGCAAGGAACTGAGGATATACTTAGCATCGCCAAAGCAACTCTTGATTACGGCCTTACAGATGTTAATGGCAAAGTCAAGGAGCTGCGGCAGCTAGCACAAGAGGCTAAAGCATTGACAACAGTTGAGGGGAATGCAGCAGTGAATGTGGTTGCTTCAAGATTTGAAAGCCTTGTACCCCAGGGAATAAGAAGAAGCAGGTCATCCAGGCTATCCTGGGACCTAGACATTAATCTTGGAGTTAAGTCAAATCCTACTCAATCATATACTGAATTATTGCTTGAGGACATACAAAACTTTCATCAGAAGAGCAGCAACTCTGCATTTTCACTCCCACCTTGTGTAACAAAAGCTTGCTCCATATTGGACGCAGTTGCTGACCTTAACTCAAGCACTAGTTCCAGTTTATCCAGCGCTTTCTCTGATGACAGAAGAAGAAACCCCAAAGTTGAGCAACTTAACAAGAATACTGATACTTCTTTAGGAACCACTCCTCAGGGTAAAAAGAGGTTACAGATAAAAGAGCCATATGTGGAATCTGAGGTTGCTCTAAGTGATGACTTAATTAAGTCTCCTATCATACAGAAGTATGTAACCTTCGGAAGGGGAACTGATGGAGGTTATTTAGAAGATCCAGAATCTTCAGGAAGCAACAGTTCTGTTGGTGGTCAGCGGTGTTGGTTTTCCCCATCCTCCCGAGGACCAAATTCAGCTGATTCTTGGTCTCCTTCAAAATCTTACAGGAGGCTTCATGTGAATCCACTAGCCTTTCAAAAGCATACAGTATCTGAGTATGGCCGTGATTAGGATGAAGATAGAAGAAGAATTACTGCAAATACGAGGGATTCTGACAACCAGCAACGTGGAATAGGTCGCAACAGGATACCTAGAGGACCTCACACAATATCTATGGCAGCTGCTGCTGCTTCAACTTATTAGTTATATGCGGTTTCTTTGAGGATTTATATGTTGCTGTTATGATTGCACCCTTTGCAACATTTTCATTTCAGTGTCAACAGAATCATTTACTAGGAGCAGCTGTATTGCAATTATCCTTCTACGTTCTCTGACAGGCATAATGGAGGCTAAATAGTGGAGTTTCACATTTATACAGTTTCACATAATGTGGTAGCAGCAAGCATTCTCTACACGAATCTAACAGTTACAAAAGCTTTAGTCCTGGATATTTTATCCAAGAAAAGTTTTGTCTACACCTAATGAGTATAATACGCATCTTGAAGCTCACGCTTCACGCTATTATGGTATACAGTTGGGTTGGGAAACCACCTCCAAGCAAGTTCCAGCTTCACGCTATTATGGTATACAGTTGCAGGCGCTTGATATATAATCTTGATATCTTTTCTATACAGTGTATGTATTTTCTGCAAAATGGAGAAATTAAGCTGCTGAGCATTCTTCTCTCTCCAGACACAAGGAGGATAACTCAACAGTTGACTATATCATTTGGTATCACTTTTGTAGTTAACCAAGTAAATTGCAGCCACTGTGACAAATGCTCCACCTAGTTGCACGGGTGTGAATGTCTCATCTAGATATAGGAACCTGTATCGGAGTTGAACAAATTAGGCAGATCCAGATAGCAAAAAAGTAGAAACCAAAAAGTGAAGATAGAAACCGAATCAAACATAAACTGCTTTGGACAGTAGTCCTAAATATTTCTTCTTATAGGTAGTTGAAAGCGAAGACCAATTCATTGATTGAGATCAAAATAACTTTCATTGGCTCGTTCAGGAATTTATTTTCTGATAGGATGCTTACCCAAAAATGGAAGCAAACATTGGAGTTAAAAAGGTAAGGGAACTGAACTTTGTCAGGCTACCTGCAATGGATTAGTCTAGTCAAAATTGGCCGTAACAGACAAATTAATAAGGTGTAATGCATTGTTTGACATTCAGAGACCTGAATCTAACCTCTTGTTGCGTTGTAGAAGTAGACACCATAGCTTATGGCACTTCCAAAGATTGAGGTATAGAGCAAAGCCAACAAGTCAGTTGCTGTAAGCTCCATAGAATTCCCACTAAGCACAGGGTCATGATTGAGAATGGAGATAGCCACCAGAGGGAGTCCACCAATAACCATGTGCTGAAATGGAAATATCTGAAGTTAGCACAGTATTTGAGCATCGAAATCATAGGGTACTGTTCTTTGGAAACCTTCTACTCAAACCATTACATTGTTGCTAGTCATGCAACCATTTATTTTCAATGTTAAAAGATAAGTAACCATTCTAATCTTGAATAAACATCAGCTCATTCCAGAGGAGCAAGAAATAAATATAAGGGTTCAACATTGGCAAGAAAACACTTCTGTGTTTAAGAGTGAAGGTCCGCTGAATTTAGTGGGGTCGTCTTCAAATCCTAGCATTTTTTTTTTTTTAAGAAATAGTTCAAACAGATATATATTTCTCTTGGTCCAACAATTATGAGCTGATGCTCTTTCCTTTTAGATTGATGAAAAAAGTTTCCAGTTCACTGTTTCATGTTTGCTCACTGAATTGTTTTTGACTTGGCAAGCGAAATCATTTTGTAAGGATTAGAGAATAGCCACACGAGACATTGTCATAAATGGAAAAACCAGAATGTTCACAATAAAATTAAGCTGTAAAAGTGGAATTTATTTTTTGCTACCAAGCATCCAAGTGGTGTTGAAGGATCCCACCACTCAGCAAAGGTTAGAGCCTGCTTTTACATCCGCAAAACGCCTCCTAACAACACATCCAAGGTTAATGGACAACCGACACCCAACCCACCCTACAATTTTCTAGTAGAGGACACTTACTCTAAGGATTAAATTGTCTTGGGTTAGATCTGGGTGCTAAGCTTCTGTCTCGGGTGATGAGATGGGGAGACAGGGACTCAGGGTCTGAGCTTTAATCCATTTAGAATGATATATTCGTTTCATGGGGAGTCCTCATAAGATGATGCACCACCAACATTGAAGGAAAAAGGAATTTTTGCAGAGGTAAAGAACACACATTTCATGACTGGTTAAAAGAAGTTAAAAGTCCATTCCCTTTTGTCGACCTTAACTTTTGGCAGTGGAACGGTGGTGGGATTTAGGAAAGTGCCACAAATATTTTTCTAATACAGAGAAAGGAAGGAGAAGTTTTTTGTTTTGGATAGGAAACGGAGGCAGTTAAGATAAAGAAAGCACACTGCTCGGAAGTTCAGCTTGTAAGACAGACATCCAGAATGGTTGACGAATTTGGAGTAGAACAAATAAATGCAATGCATAGAATACAAGTGATAGCAGAACTTACACATCGAACAGGAGGCCTCTTGTCAGTAACTTGATAAGGAATATGACCCATCATAGAGCTAACTGGACAGGTTAAGATTATACTAGTGTGAATTACTTTTTATCATGCTAATTTTGGGATTTCTTCCTTCCCGTTTAATCTATGAAGTCAAACAACTGCATTTTGCAACAAATGGAACAAAGACCAATTTTATAGCTGCGTACAGTTTGATGACACAACCACTAGTTCTAGATAGTGACCGTGAAAAACCTGATCTAATATTATAAACTTCAAATCAGCAGTGTAGTAATATGACTAACCCATCCAGTAGCCATGATTGGGTCTGAGTATTTAGAAACCCAACGGACCATTACTGTGCCAACAGCCATGCTTTGTGCTGCCAGAAGCATCCACCACTCTCCACTTCCCCATAGTGAAAAGTTGCTATTATCAACTGAAAGAGCAGGTACCTGTACAATTAACTCTGTTATTTGAGAGCAGTAACAGTTAGTACCAAAAAAACAAGGAATAGGATTAATGACTACAAAGTGTTCTCCTAAATTAGATATTGATATTCCCTCCTTTCCTTTTGTTTTATTATGGCTGGGGCTGGAGGAATACTTAAAAACAAATCTACAGTCATGAATTGTTCTACTTTCTTCATAGTACCGGGCCTTATTTACTTGTTATTGTTATTGCTTTTCATCTACTTTCTGGTCCTTATATTGTTATTACTTCTGTGATTTCTGTTGATGGTACTGATTTATTGTCTCTGTTCGTCTTCTTGAGCCAAGGGTCTTTCGGAACCAGGCTCTCTACTCCCTCGGGGTAGGGGTAAGGTCTGTGTACTCACTACCCTCCCTAGACCCCACTTGTGGGATTACACTGGGTTGTTGTTGTTGTTGTTGAATTGTTCTACTTTCAACAGGTTAAGATCTAGTACACACAGAAAAAATGAAAAGAAATATTGCTGCAAACACGTTAAAAATCATCTTCTTCCTCTTTGCAGTTAAGAGAGAACTAAAATTACACGTACATAAATGTATACATATAAAAAAAAATTGAACACATAAGATTCGTCTACATATAACATATAAACGTAGGGAAAATCTTATAAGTACGCTTCTTGGTTCCCTGCAGTACATGTACGGAGAACAACACAAACTGTACAATCAATATATACTATCAACATCATTGTGTCTTCGGATGATAACATAACCAGAAACAAAATTGAGCATCTGCAACATCTAGAATATGGATACCACTTGAAGTTCAACAGTTAATTTGATGGAAGGTAGAGGAACGGGACAGGTCGATTCACTTCAAGGTGAAGTTTTTATATTGCCCTCATGTTGTTTGGCGTGATTGGAGGAAAAATAAATCAGATTTACTTCATCCTTTCTACAATTGAAGGGGTTTAACATGCTACGTCTTCATTTTTATTCTCTAACCAAATGGCTTTTACATACTCTCCTCCTACCCTTTCTCTTTCACCCCAACCAAAGAGATGTTTATCTACTTATTTGGAAAAAGAACAAACGTTCGTCTACCTAGTCTCCAGTTTACCGTGAATTCCAACAGAATCATGAATTTGGTAAAATCTCTGCTTAACCTTTTAAATTTCTGATCCCCAAAATTTTGTCTTTGGTATCAGATTCTTCACCACTGCTTTTTGACTTATTTAAGGCACACACAACTACCTACCAAAGAAGGACCAATCAGTATTCTGTTAATTATCATCGACTGCCTCTAGAGTGAGGATAAGGCCATTCACAATTATTGTGAAAATAAAAATAGAGATTGGTAATTTTCTGATAATATTACCTCAAGAAGTAAAAGGCCCACCACCCCGAGCACAAGACCTGCAGCTCCAACAAAACCTATGGACTCACCAAATAACAAAGCTGCAAGCACAGCCACTGTCAGAGGCTGTGAATCTATTATCACCTGAAATCACAATAAAATCTTGTCAAAATTAGGTCAACTTATCATTTAAATATCATCAATTACTTTACTTTTCTTTTAGCTGCATGGATTAGTTCAAGAGAATTGCTAATTGATCCTTTACTTACTCTCGACTCTATGTAATTATTTGGTTACACCACTAAAGCTAACAGTCTATTATTAAACATTATTGAATTTAGAAAGGCCAATCAAATGTTCCAAAAAACATGATGAGTGATGTTAAGGAAAACTCAATGCAGTATTAGAGTAGAAATCGTATATAATTAATTGAAATTCATCAGTAAGAAAAGCCCCATTCAAAAGGTTGAATGCTGGAGCATCGGAATTCTATACAGTAGGACAGGTATAAAATATAACATTTCTCTGCTATGGTGCTAAATGCAAAATACAATTATGTACAGCACCTTGAACAGCTTATGGCTTGCAGTTTCGTCTTCGTAAATATTGGTTACAACCTCACAAGGAAAGAATTATACACTAATAAATTCCATATGAGCCTTAACTTGTTTGGAACTGAGGCATAGTTGTTGTTGTTGTACTAAATTCAATATTGGCATAAGACATCAAACTGCAATGAGAAAGTAAAATTCATCTTACACTGCCTAAGCCAGCAGATGTCCTCTGAAGTCCTTCTGCAAGAAATCCCTGTCCACCATATACATTTAATGAGACACATTGCTGACCCAATGAATAGTACTTTGTGCATCACTGAAAGCTTAACACAATTAACACAAGTAATCGTAGCAGTCGAATCCGGCATCTCATTCCTCCTAGTGGTGAACTAAGCCAACAGAGAAAGAAACGCTAGTTTTTGAAGACTACCTATACCCCTGTTTGTTATTCCCCATTATCAAGTTTATATGGTGTTTGCGATCGTGCTTTATTCTGTAACCACCTAAATCAATAAAATAATCCACTAGGACTCAATCCCAAATTTATGGGGTCAGCCAGGGGCAGAACTACCTGGAAGCAAGGGGGCTCAAAAAATTTACTTATTTATCAATCATCCATGTTTATTAAAAGGGTAGCTCCGGTGCACAAAGCATCCCGCATTCACGCAGGGTCCGGGGAACGGCCGCACCCCTATTTATCCATGTTTATTACAAGCCAAAAATAATAAAATGCATGATATCTACAAGGGTTGAATTCCGTCCGTGGGGTGAGGCAATATTAAAATTCTATGTCCATTCCCTATTCAGACCTATTTCATTCCAATATGATAAATAAGTCTTATAATTCAGTACACTATCACCAATGTTAGCTTAAGTAAAACTATTGATCAGATACTGAAGAAAGATACCTGAAAACAAGCAGCATCAACAAGAGCAAAGAGTGTAATAGAAAGCCAAGCATTGAACCCAGAGGGGAAATTCCTACCCCTTAAAGCAGCAAAACCAACCAACATGAAACCAGCTGGAATCAACCTAAATGCTGAAACGAAAAAAGGGCCAGTCTTTGGTAAAACCTCCTTCATTGCTACCATAGCTGTACCCCAAAAGAAGAAAGGCGAGATTAGCAAACCCCATTCCCATATTGTCCCAAGCAACTCCAAAGACGACACCCCTTCATCTTTTTCAACATTTTGAAACTTAAAGTTTGAGTCTTTGGACGATTGCTCAGATGGGTTCACTACACACTCCACGTCTAGCCCAGTTCCCACACAGTCTAGTTGTTCTGATGATGATGGTTGCTCTTCAAGACTGGATTCAGTGGCCTTGGTTTTTGAAAAAGAAATGAACTTTTTGCTGCGGGAGTTGAGGTGGAGATGATTCTTGGAAGAAATTCTACGTAGGTGCAGTGATTGTTGAGACCCATTTCGTTTGTGAATAATTGAGTGGTGATGGAACAAATTATGAGGTAAAGAGGAGGTTTTGAAAAGGGAATTTGTTGGATTAAGGTGAGGAGTAGTAGTGAGTGAACAGCAGAGATGACTGGTAAAAGAAGAAGAAGAAGAAGATGAAAATGGAGACCATGCCATTGTTCTTCTCCTTTTCTCTTATAATTAGTATTTTGTTAATTTCAAGTTTCCTGGTTTTATAGTTTCCTCAGAAGGAACAAAAGAGAATCGAAGGAATAAAAAATCATCTGAAAGGAATGGTGAAATTATGATCCACCATACGGAGCGGGTGCACTTTGTGATGGGAGAAATGCATAAATAGCCACTTGGAGGACCCCTGTTTAAGGCATAGCCACATCTTTATAGCAATTTGTAAGTTTAGCCGTTTCAACTTAAAGTCAAAATATTTGAAGTTTCACTTTTTTTTTTTTTGTAAGAGGGGAAACCCGCAGCCGCTGCAACCTCTCCCACAGCCTCTGCCCTTCGGATGAACACTCTGTGGTGAGCACTTTGTTCGCACTAGGTAAACCTCCCCCTGTGTAATAGCCTGCAAACCACACAGAGGATGTAAATCGCACTAGGCAAGCCATATGTGACAGACTCAACTCAGAAGACATTGAGGGGGAATTCGATCCTAGATCAATCATATGGATAACCACCCTCCAAACCAACTGGGTAACCCCTTTTTGTCTGAAGTTTTTGTATGAAATTAGTTGCAGCTCCTTCTTTCTCATGCTTCAAGTTTCGACCAGTCCTCCTCAAATCGTCCCCAAAAGCTTCCAAACTTCGAATTTAGCTTCACCCAACTAGTTTCAACAAGCTGGGTGTCTTCACAATTCAAATTGCAAGAGATACAATTATAATATCTAGAAAGTGACACGTGTATTGGGTAAAATTTGCAGCTTACAGGTGTACGTTTCTCAAACAGACACGTGGTAGTGATAACAGGGCGGAGATGAGTCAACAGATAGTTGATACCGGACACAGATATGTGACCGGTATTGTGTAAATTCTGAAGACATAAAGGTCGAGAAAAAGTATCTGAAAATAAGGTACCGGTTGGAAAAAAACAACATTAATGGAGCAGTCGTTATAGAAAATCATAGCATTTATTCCCAAATGTTATGCAGTCATCAAGAGGAATTTTTATTTATCTTTAAGAGGCGTGATTTGGGAATCTTGTCTCCTTAGATTTGACTATAATTAGCAACATTTGTACTCATTGAATGGACACGATAAACTATAATTACAAAGGCTATTATTCTTTCTCTCATTCACTTAAGCTTTTTACGGTTGTTATCGAGTTCTAACAGTTACTCTTAGTTTAGGTGGAAATAATCTAAAATCCAAGCTTATTATTTCTTTAATCATCTCTATTTTATTTCCTTTATTCTTTGTTGTATTATTAGTCAGATCAATTTAATCTACGTGTCTATAAATTACGTTTACAAATTTAACCGTATCTTTTTTGCAGGCAAACAGTTTGGCGTCCATCATAGGGCATAGATAATTGTGGTGTTATTTTGATCTGTTCATCTTTTACTAACGTGCTTTGAAGTTTTTCTGTTGTAAGCGTAAAACAGATATGGCACACAATAATGTCAACAACTTGCTCAATGTTGGACCAAACAACAACAACGAGCCTGTGGACAATTTTCATGATGGAACTCAATAGGACGATTTAACTAGTGAAACCCATATTGATGGGAATGAATCAACTCCAAATCAGGTGGAAATAAATACTCAACGTGCGAGGAGTCATACGCCTGATGATTTGGATGACCAGCCTGTGGCGCAATACTGTAAAAGTTTTGAGAGCACAACAAAAGGAGATTATGAACCAACTCTCAAGACATGGCCGAATAATGACTGAGCTCCAACAAGCATTATCGGGCTTCAAATAACTCAAATGGTGGAGTTCGATCCCCTCCTGACATGCATATAAATCAAACGACTCCAAGAACCGGTAACGTCGCTTCAAGGGAGAAGTTTACATCGAACAACAACCAAGCAGGCGGTGCAGGCAGTAGATCAGGAAATAAAAACAACGCAGACCGATCTTTTCAAGACTAAGCTCATGAGGTGCATGAGAGAAATAAATGCTCGAATGGATCATAATGCTAAAGAGTTTCACGCTCTGATGGATCAAATCCTGGGGGAACCTCCTGTCACGACCCAAAACCTGTGATAGGTCGCGATGGAACCTCACATCACCGTTAGGAAAGCCAACAAGTGAACCTACAATTAGTTACCCCTTTTTAACTTTTAAAACAAAAGTTTCCTTTTTAAAAGAACGAAATAAGTAAGATATCATGCATCCGTACATACTCTTTTCTAAAAAAAATCTAGCATGAGAAATACATCAACTGTAGTGACAATAATGATAAGTACAACATTACATAAATGATAAAAGCCCCCAAAATCCGGTGCCACAAGTGCATGAGCAATCTAGAGAATATACAAAACTAATACAACTACTGTCTGAAAGGTAATAGACAGAATAATAAACAAGGTAGAGGGAGACTCCAGTGTTGCAGATCTAAGCAAGGCAAGCAGCTCACCACTAAGTCTCCGTAGAAGTGCGGCTATGCGCCCGTGTGACCACTAGTAGTACCTATCTCAATACCTGCATATTCGGTGCAGAAGTGTAGCATGAGTACAGAAAATAACGTGTACCAAGTAAGTATCTAGTCTAACCTCGAAGAAGTAGTAACGAGGGATCGATTTGACACTTACTAGTGATTAAACAATAATAGAAATACATAAAGTAGACATGATGAGTATACAACAAGTAGAAAATAAGCAAGTAAAAGTAATTACAGTAATTCCACACATGCGTCTATATCAAATCGCTAAACATGTCATAACCGGCCTTGAATGCGCTAACTCAATTGTTGCCAAACCAAATCCAGTCTCAAAATGCTAGTGGTACTCAGTACTGCCAAGGCGAACGACCCGACCCCATTAAAAAAAGTGTTACCATACTGCCGAGGCGAAAATCCCGATCCCATAAGAGTAATTTAATTCACTGCCGAGGCGAATGGCCCGATCTCATAAGAGTAGAGAAATTTAGCTCTCTCGCTCAAGTATATGTGAGTCGAGAAGACACGAATCCACAGTTCATCAAATATTTTCCAAGTTTTCCAAAGTAAGAGGCTAAGTCGGTATTTTTATACAAATCCTCAATCTCAATCATAATTAAGAAAATCAATACATAGGATAGGTACAAATAGCACAATTATAGGCATGATGTAAATCTAAGTCTACCTGGACATATCATGAATATAGCTACGTACGGGCTCTCGTCACCTCGTGCGTACGTAGTTTCCCACAAATAGTAGCACACAACAATTAATACACCTAAGGGGATAAGTTCCCTCTTACAAGGTTAGGCATGAGACTTACCTCGATTCCAAGTCCCAAATCAACCTCACTTGAACTCCTCAGACGACACCGAGGACTCCGAAACTAACCAAAAACCGCATAAAGTAATAAATATATGCTCAAAAATTTATAATTTAACTATTAAACTAATTTTTCAACCCAATCCGGAAGTCCATAAAAATTACCCCTGGCCCACGTACCTACCCAGCACTCAAAACAGAACCTCGGAGAAGTGGACTGCTGACATGAAGTCTGACCCTGATGGACTAAATACCCACTGGAGGAACCCTGAATAGCTGGCGGACGGTAAGTGCTCTCTGGAATAGCATTGAAGTAGGGTTATGCTGGAGCACTCCGAGTCCCCATCTCTGCCTCACGGGCCATAGAAACCTGAATCTTAGGGTGCAGACCTATAATGAACCTCTGCACCCTCTATGCGTCTATGGGGAGTATAATAGCTGTATGGCGAGACAAGTTAGTGAATCTCGCCTCATAGTTGGTCACAGATATATGACCCTGACAGAGTCGCTTAAACTGAACTCGAAGCTCCTCTCTCTTTGAAGGTGGTATGTACTTCTCTAAGAACAGATATGTAAACTGATCCCAAGTCAAGGGAGGTGAACCTGCTGGCCTGCTAAGGAGGTAAGCCTACCACCATATGCGGGCCTTGCCCTCAAGCTGAAAGGTGATGAAGTCCACCCCGATGGACTCCAATATCACCATGTTCTGTAGCCTATCCTTGCACCGGTCAATGATATCTTGGGGGTCCTCTAACCACTCACCCCCAAAGTTAGGGGGCGAAGCTTAGTCCGTCTGTCCAGCCGCTTCTGCTGATCAATGGTTGCGACTAATACAGTCTTTGGCACAACCGTTGCAATTGGCTGGGGCCCGCCCGCAGGTAGTGCACCTGGGGTCTGATAAACGGCATAAGCGTGCCCTGGAGCCTGAGCGGTAGGGTTCTGTGCTCCCCCTCCCGCCTGAGATGTGGCTGGGTCCGCTGGAAATAAGAAAATGAGTCAAATCCTATATTAAAAATCGAAGTTGCCCAGGCCCTCTCTTCTTCGCGATCACGGACAAAGCATCACGAACGCGAAGGACATATCCTCCTAGCTGCCCAGTTACTCATTGTGTTCATGATGCTCAGCTCCCCCAACCCTTCGCGTTCGCGAAGGCCTCCTGCCTCACAGCCATCCCCCTTCCTAGCCTTCTTCGCGTTTGCGATCAAGCCTACGCGTTCGCAAAGGAGGACCAGGTCCTTCTCCGCGTTCGCGGGAGCCTCCTCGCGTTTGCGAAGAGTAAAATTGGGGGCCCTTCAACAGAGTTCTTCACGATCGTGGGACAACTATCTCGATCGCGAAGCACACTAGCACACCATCACACCAACATTTTCAGCCAAGTTCAAACATGCTCCGGGTGGTCCGAAACACACCCGAGCCCCCTGGGACCCCGTTAAAATGCACCAACAAGTCCATAAACACATTACAGACTTACCCGAAGCCTCGGAACACATAAAACAACATCGGAATCAAGCATTGCACCTCAAAACCTTGTTAATCATCTTCTAAGCTTCAAACTCATTTCAACCAACTCTGAATGAGTCAAAACATACTTAGATAACTCGGAATGATGCCAAATTTGATGCACAAGTCATAAATCACCATACAGACCTATTCCCAGGCTCGGAATCCCAAACGGTCCTCGATTACACCAAAGTCTACTTTAAACCAAATTTAAAGAACTTGAAAACCTTTAATGTGCCAACTTTCAACATTAAGCGCTGAAATACTCCGAGATCACCCGGAACCCGATCCGAACACACACCCAAGTCCAAAATCATCATACTAACCTATTGGAACCATCAAATCCCAGTTCCTAGGTCGTTTACT